GTGTGGTCGCTGGGGGGACTCTCCCAGTTCTCCCCTATGGTCTGATCTGGGGGGTGGGTGGGCGGATCTTCCCGTGCGGGTCCCCCTTGGGGCTCTGTGCTCGGGATTCCTCTCAGGCCCTTGGGCTCTGGTCTTCCCTATGTCTGCCTCGTGTCTTGGGGGTTGGGTCTTGGTCCTCCACAGTCACTATTAAATATTCCATTGGAGAAATCTTGTATATACACACATGTTCACAACTGCTCACAAACAGGTGCTCTGATCCGGGGGTTCTGACAGATCACTGAGTGTGTATATACTGTATGTCTATGTGTATATACAGACAATATTTATGAATGAGGGCATGTATGTATGTATATCTTTATATGTATGGGTATGTGTATATATTTACATATGCCCTCCATGTATTTATCAATTTATTTTTCAGGTGAGCGGACAGATGTTGGGTGTGTGGTCCTGTGTTTTGTTGGTGTAAATTTAATATACTTCTAATCGCTATTTCAATCTTTCTATCTTTCTAATTACTTCTCTCTCTGTTTTTCTCTCTGTCTCTATTTTCTCTTCCCTTAAAAAAAGTCACTGATAATGAAGAAATAAATAAACTAAATAAACTAATATTTAGTTTCGTTTTCTACTGAAGTGACAAAAAAAAGAAAAACATTAATCAATTCTTTTTTAGCACTTGACGATTAATGTGATTTATGCCACCAGGCAGATGGACTGGAGATTTCAGTCCGCTCGGTGCTCCTTTCCACTTCAAATGAAAATTTAAAAAAAAGTTGTGTAATTTATTTATCTATCAACACAATTAAAAATTTTATGTACACTATAGCCTGAAGTCGGTAATTTTGACACAATTTGGAACAGATTTTACACATCTTTCCCACTAAACTGGTCATGTGACAAAGGCATAAGGGTGTCCATGGACTCAAGGGGATTAATCATCAAATTAATCGTTATCGCATAAATATCACAATTAATCGTGATTAATTTTTTTGCCAATACTGCCCAACCCTAGTCCATTATTATTGTTGTGTCGCAAATAATAAGACTTGCGTGTTTGCGGTCCCGCCCACATCGAAACAACTTCCTGCTCAGTTTAACAGGGCCGAGGTAGGTAGGGTAGAGGTGGCGCCCTCTGCTGGATGAAGGCAAAACTACACTGAAATAATGTTTAAACTGATGTTTTCAATTAATTGAATGGAAGAAATTTTAATCTAATAAACCATTATTCGACAATTAATCGTAAGGTGATTAATTGCTTGCATCCCTAGTCTAAGTTCATCACAGTGGGAACTGTAAGAAATCATTGATACTCATCAGATTTACTACATACTGAATGTAGATTGTATTGTTAGAAAAAGCATGACGTCCTGCAGTTTTGTGTCTGTGTGGAATTTCTCTGCACCACAGGTGTGTTGCAGACCGATGGACCAGAGTCAGCCGGTCTCTTGATGAGTGAAAGCTTAATGACTCGATAATCCCTCACCTCGATTATCTCCAGCATCTCCACTCTGGTGATTTTGCCGTCCCCATCCAGGTCATACATGTTGAAGGCCCAGTTGAGCTTCTGCTCAAAGCTGCCGCGGGACGTGATCGACAGAGCGCAGATGAACTCTCGGAAATCGATGGTTCCATCTCCGTTCTTGTCAAAGGTTCTGAAGGCGTGCTGTGCAAATTTTGACGCGTCACCGTACGGGAAGAACTGTGAACGTGGAACAGATGTGTGGTTTAATTGAAGCCGACCTGCGGCCTGGTCACATTTTCACAGAGGCGCTTCAGAGAAGCAGCTGCTTCACACAGACCTTGACATAAAGCTGCTGGAACTCCTCCAGGTTGAGCCGGCCGGTGGGACAGTCTTTCAGGAAGCCTTTGTACCACTGCTTTAGCTCATGTTCATTAAACTCTGTGTTCTTCACCAGATCCTCCATCACCTCAGGGGTCAGCTTGCTGTTTTGCTTTCCCATGATTCCTGTGGTACAAAAACATGTCAATAATACATTTCATCAGATTCATTTTCACTTCAAACACAAGTACACAGACTGAATATGCACAGATGTAAATATAAATATGTCCCTGATGCCTGGGTTCTATTTCTGTGCCCTCCTGGCCTGTTTGCACCAGGCGCTGACCTGGATCATCAGAGCAGATCCAGTTCATTCAATATTCGATCACTGCTACCAGGTTTCCCCTGAAAACCCTGTCTGATAACCTGACTGTGACAACAAAGCTGTAAAGGAGACACAGCTGCAGAGTGGAGCTCAGCAGGGCCGCTGTAATCTGGATCAGAGGGGAATAGGGCTTAGAACGGAGTGGTCTGTGCTTAAAAGCAGCTGTGGAGAGTCCGGCTTGGATTAGGTTGTTATAATGAAGGCACTCAGCGGCTCAGAGAGCCTCCTCTCTGAAGCCACACAATCATGCAGAGGCAGCTCTACAGAGTGGCTCAGAGTGGAAATAATAAGCCATTCACAAGCAAGTAAGCAGATATTTACGTACAACTGTTGTAATGTGTTGCCTCTGTGTGTAGCACTGTGGCCAACAACAGTTATTCTTTAATGTGCTGTATGAATGAATTTGCTCTCATTCAATAAAAAAATGTAAACCAAACAAAAGTTCTACTTTATTGTCAGTCCACACAAAGGATTTGATTTTTGCGTACATGTCAACCCCTCGTTTGCCCTGTTGCTATTTAATCATGCAGTTCTTTGCTTTTACTGAATGAAAGCCTACAGTGAATGGTGTTAGCCTCAGTGCTAGCTACTGTTAATCTGGTTGTTTAGCATGTTATTTGCAACTAATCTTAACTTTAAAGAAATATTTTGTCTATGGTTAGTAGCCGCATGCTGGCAAAACTATACTCTAAAAATGAAATGTTGGATTTACTTAACCATGTTATGTTACCTGGTTCCACTTAACTGAGTTGAGTAAATTCAAAGCAAAATACTCATGTTCTTTGG